GAAAGCTCCCAGTCGCAAGAATGCATCCATGACAATTAAGTTAATGTGCTAGGGGAGCACAAGGAGCTGCTCTCAGCACAATAAACTGTTTACATATAGATGCATATATGCGGCTGCTCGACATTAAAGCCCACCTGCCAAGAGATCACCATGCGTGCAGCTGGCGATAAGTGGTTAAACTGTATCTATACCCCCCCAAAATGTAATATGTTGCAGTTTACCAGTCCTTGGTGGCTGTGTAATTTTTTTTTCAGGTATTTCCCTTTTTTGCCTGTTAAACCCTGTAAATTATGGGTGTCCAAACTTTCTAAACAAAGGGCCAGTTTCCTTCCCTTCAGACTTTAGGGGGGGCAGACTGTGACCAGTGGGAGTACAAAATGCCCTGCCATTAATGGGATAAAACAATGCCCCATCATTAATGTCAGTGAGAGGAATGGTGTCCCATCTTTGGTGTCAATTAGAGAAATAATGCTCCATTGTTGTGTCAATGGGAGTAATAGTGCCCTATTATTGATGTCAGTGGGAAGAATACTGCCCCATCATTGGTGTCCTTGGTGAGAATAATGCTCCATTGTTGGTGTCAATGGGTGGAATAGTGCCCCATTATTGGTGTCAGTGGGAAGACTAGTGCCTCATCATTGATGTTAGGAATAGTGCCTTGTAACAGTGTTAGAAGAAGTGCCTTAAGGGACAGATAAAGGAAAGCAAAGGGCTGCATCTGGCCTGGACCACAGTTTGGAGATCACTGCTGTAAATAATACATTCATTTTTCCACTGTACCTATGGAGGCAGCCATGGTTGTAAACCAGGCTGGATTTTATTCATCTCCAATACATGGTAGTTGATAGGAATAGTAGTTTACAGAAAAAGATAACATTGTTTTTGTTGTCTTTACAGTTCATAGGAAATGACAAGGACATTGTATGTCTAACAAGATCAACAGGTATTTTCTAAGGAGTGGTAAGTTACAACGTATTAAATTTTGTTTTTTGTTTTAGATACTCTTTAAACAAACCAGACCCCCACCCATGAATACACATATTAAAAAATATGCTCTATTCCAAAATGAAAAACCACAAATCTATACAGATGGACAGTGGACAATGTATACTCAACCTACCATACTAAAAGCAGCAACAGCAGAACTGTATAAGATTTTGGCCATTAAACGGTGATAAGTGTTATCATTTCATTCCATTTTTAAACAAAGTGTATTTAGTCTTTGAGCTGAACTTCAGGCAGAGTGTTATCTACACAGCCGAGATACTCATAATGGAACAATTTCAGCTTCCAAATAATATAATTTAGGTATACGGGGCTAGACTTGTTATCCAGGCACCTCTGTCAGACAGTACAAGTCCTGGATCTCGTTGCATACTTTACAAACTATTGCACATTACAGCCTGGTCTGCTCCAGCCTGTGACTGGACTATGAAGTAGAAACAGCAAACCAATGGGGTAATCACTTTGTTATTTACACCTTTTAAGAGTTTGTTAGACTAAAAGTATCATGCAAAGCACTAGAGTCATGATATGCTGAGAGAGGGTTATGATCCTCCTTCTAAAAGATTTTTTAAAAATATCTGTTCTGTGTTCAGCATTAATAATAAGCACAGATAATGAGGCACTTTGTTGGTGACTAAAGGGGCTATTTCAAGATACATAGGAACTAGCACTTGTAAACTTTATTTTATATGTGCAATGGCTGTCATCATTAGCCTTGCGTTACAAGCTAGGGTGTTACTTCCTTATAGCCAGTGAATCAACACTTTCAACCTATATATCTATTCCAGGTCACTGATTTGACGGATAGTGTAGCAGGATGAGGATGTAATTCTTTATGAGAATGTACTAACTTCAGTTAGTACATAGTATTCAGTCATGGTCATGTGCATGTATACTATATAGTATATCACACATGCACACATGGAATCCCATCCATGGTATGCAGATCATAGAGCTGGCAGTTGGTTGAGAATGGACTTCTTACGTTGAAATGAAAGTTAAGCACTAAGGTCCAAGACAACATGTCTTAGCTTTACAATATTTAAATATGGTGACCTAAAACTTTCTTATGCCCCCAGCTTGCTTGAACGTTTCATATACTGTTAGATGAAACATGATTTCCCAGAAATAAACCACCAGTAAAGGTAAAGCAATAAAGCCACTTCAGTTTAACTCTATTCATATGTTTTGCGACATTACATAGATCAGAACTGAGTATGCTCTCCTTTAATGAGACTCATAAATTCATTACATGAGCTGTATGGATCCATTTTAAAAACCAACATAATGGTGAAAAAGGACTAAGAAACTCACCAAGGACTGACATCTTCTCTTGCTTCCATTTGTCATCTTAGTACAGCAAGAATATATGTATCAAAAAGCATTCATAGTATTCACTATTAAGTGGTACTGAACTACATTCAGAATAATATTTTGTAACTCAGTGACTGATCAATATGTAAAAATGTGTTTTGTATCATTAATGCTTGATTAATACCACATTCCTTCATCTCATTTTTTACAGATGGCTCATAGAATGTTTAAGCCCAAGGTGCACTCTGAAGCAATGATAACACGTAGGACAACAATATAATCACAGTTTCAGTACTTATACATCCCTCAGGTGCACTGCTCATGAAAACCTAACAAATTGCTCCTACTTATTCAATAAACTATTGTAATAGCACAACCACAGCAGACAATCAGATACCCGCTTTTATTAGTCTTCTTATACATCACCACTAATGCTAATACCTGATTGGCTGCCATGAGTTACAGCATATAATTGTTCTTTACAATATAGAATAGAATAATAGTGTACTGACAGCAGTTAAAGAAGACTGTTTATTCTGCCTATTAAACCATGTTATTAAATAAGCCCCATTATTCTAAAGGACAAGGAACAACAGCAGCATCAGTTCAAGGCAATTGAAGTTTAGCCCTGATAGTCAGAGGTTCATTTTTATGATGCCAGTGCTTGCATCATGTAATGCCAGTGTGTGCATCTTGTATATCTCAGTCTATGAAAGTATTGAGGAAAGTGAACTATTGCAGCAGAACTATTTTATAGGCAGGTGCTAGAAAATATAAAACATTGACAGATGCTCCCACAGTTTCCTCTCACTTCACAAGCTGTGAGTTTCGACTGAACCTGGCGTCCATCTTGCCAGCTAAGCAAATTTCTACAAATATTTTGCTCTTTTTTTTTTTCTAACTCCGAACCGGGGAGTGAAAAATTATACATAGTAAATAAAGTTTTGAAGAACCTTTAACAATGCTCTGAAGCAACAGCACAATCACATTTGAACGTGTATCATTATTTCACTTTTATAATGTGTTTTAACCCCGTGATAGAGATGTGTCAGAATCATTAGCAGACCTCGAACTGAGAATAAGTTCTTTGCTAATGCCTCAGTTATAGAGGCTTAATACTCATATCATTTTTTAATCTCAAATATATTTTACAGTTACCAGTTTTGTCAACATACAGTATTTATTTACAAGAACCTGTACAAATGGTAGTTTCTCATTACTGTGCAACTACATTCCTCAATAACTGACCCCTCTAGAGAGGACTTCATGAAAGCTAAAGCATGGCCTCACCGGAACAATCGTTCTCTACACTTTGGCATATGTAACTGTGATACAGGCTTTTCTCTTGCCTGTATATCTGGGAACATCTTTCAATAGTTGGACACATCATGCCGGTAACATAGATAAACATGCGCTGCCTCTGAGTATAACATCACAACTATCTTTAGAAAGGCTGACACATTTGTGTAAGGTTTTTCCTCTTTTTACAATCTAATATAGAGAAATATAAACTTCAATCCTGAGCCTACGGATTGAAAATTAAAAAAAAAAAAAAAGATGAATGTAGCCAACCAACCAACCAATGAATGTGCACTCAAGACATCTTTTGGTTGTGCCATTGCCTACTGACTCTGTTACCAGAACAGAGGACAAGTAATAGACTGCCTTACACAAGGCTATCACTTCTTAATACACCTTAGCACACTTGCCAATCTCCATACAAAAAACAACCCAAGCATGTTGGACATCATAGGTTGCAATCATCACATGCATTCTTTGCTTGTTATTGCCTGCATATAGGGGCAAAGTAAACCAGTGAGAGATTGTCTGCTGAACACACTGTCAGATACATTTACCATCACATTGTGATGATCTCAGTCTCTGAAAATAAGAAGTATCTCTTCTAAGACTGTTTTACTGCACTAAGAAAGAAGATGACTACAACTATCGTAGGTTGTTACAAACAGGCAAGATATGTTTTTTTTATCATGGCCAATATGGTGACAGAAGACTAGTCACATAAAGAGCAAGGTGGATTTATTCTCTTCTTATATGCATTGATTGTGTTTCCTCAAATTGCTTTAGGTAGATGGTTAAACTTGACTCCATTGTTATGTCTCCTTAATACAGCAATCACATACTCATGATGTCCAAAAAGTTTCTTTGTAGTGCACATAGCCAAAAACGTAGAAGTGAGCGACAGTCAATATAAAGTCTATACGTATGTACAGAAGAAGTCGTCATGTCCATGTCATACAATATTTTTTTCCCTTTTTTTCATCCACATCAAAGGCAGGAATACAAGAAGGCATTGTTAGATGTGGTGGACAGACATGCGCGCCAGCTGATTAACAGATAAGGTTTTAAGGCCTTTGTCTATGTATGCTGAGTTACATAAAGGCATAAGCATGTAGAAAGAGGAACTGTGAGACACAACCAAACATAGACTGAGGAGTAAGAGTAAAAGAAGATTTAGGCTCAGAATAAAAAGATACAACTTATTAATGGCAAATATCAATACTGTGTATTGTACAGATGGAGAAGTTTGTGTTGCTTGCCCTTTGATAGCTTCTCAGCATCTTTGTTAATAATACTGTCAGAGGTTATAACACATTTCACGGAGTTCAGCGGCCGTTCACCACATTCATTCATCAAGCCCATACAGGTGACACCTGGAATGTCTAGCCAAGAATGTCAAGGTATACAGGGGATGCCTTGGACAAGTTCTGAAGTAGGCTATGGATTTCTTTGATATTCAGCCTCATGTGAGGCTCCCTCTGCCAGCATCCCAACATAAGGTCGTAGACTTCCTTCGGACAAGTGCGAGGTCGCTGCAAGACTCTGCCTTGTGTTATGCACTCAATCACCTGTAACAAGGAAGAATATTAAAATGTCATCTTTTTGAAACATATAAAGAGCTACTAGAGAATACAGTAATTTTAAATTAAACATAATCCAAAAGGATTATGATACCATTCAAAGAGTAAATTAATCATAATCTACAGTAGATCAGTCCAAAAATACTACAAACTGATTAAAATTAGAAAATATATTGTGTATTAATAGTATTCAATCACATACAGTTTTTCCTATAATGTAAGGGCATTAAATGTTAAATGAAAATATATATGTGTGTGTGGCCACCTAATAATTAAAAAGAGAGCAAAAGTATGCTTTGTAAATCTGTTTTTTTTTTCTCCCAATCTTCTTCTTTATGCATTGCTTAGTTGTACTTTCCTTCTGGAGAAAATAATAACTTTGACAGATATAAGTAACATATAGAAACACACACCTCATTATTGGATAACTGGTACCATGGTTGTTTCCCATAAGTGAAAATTTCCCATAGTACCACTCCTAGACTCCAGACATCACTTTCTGTTGTGAATTTCCTGTACATGATACTCTCAGGAGGCATCCAACGAATAGGCAACATAGTGTGTCCTCCAACCTAAAAAGAAGAGGTGATCTGTTACTATAGAGGTATTTATTTAGTATAGTACAACAAAACTATTATAATAAAACCAAACATGACAAAACACTTGGCCATCATTTTACACCCCAAGATCATATCCATCCATATATTGGGTCCTACTCCTACTGCCATAGAGAGCTCAGAGCTTCTTAAAAAAAAAAACAGCAAACACTGTGGGGTAAAGAAGTAGAGAAGTGAAAATGTTCATATGTGAATAAGGGAAAAACATTCCAATCACAAGAAAAAATCCAGATTGTTTGTGTATTTCTCCTGCACATGACTGGAACATTTACAGCTTCCCCATATTAAGTAAAAGTTAATATTCCCTATGTCTTTAGTAAATTACTTCCAATCCTCTCCTTTGATGATGCTATGCCTAATGAGATAAAAAGGTGGAGATGGATTCCCAGAATGATTATACTTCCACAGAGTGGTGTAGAGTTGATCGCATGTCCTATCCCTCTTGTATTGAACTGTATTGTTGCTGTATTGTCTCCCGTTATATTGTAAAGCGCTGAGCTAACTGTTGGCGCTATATAAATCCTGTATAATAATAATAATAATGTAACATTTTGACACTGGGCTGGCGGTTCTTACATATTGTAACCAGAGAAAAAAAAGAAGAACAGAAGCAATACACCAGAATGGTGGAGTCAAAACATGTTTTACCCGTAATCCAAGCAAAATCTGCATGTATAGCCAATGTGTTTCAGGGTTTGAAATCAGGGCTTAGGATATTCAGAGAAAAACTTTTTGAGCCCTATATTCTGGTGTGGCACTGCTGTAGATCACTGTCATACATTGGAGTGGGCAGCAATGTATCCACTGGCAAGATGCATTGGAGTGCCATTCAGAATGGTTCGACAGTGTGAATAGAGCCTTAGAGGTCCAGAAAAAACTATAGAACAGAGTTTTTAGACTGATGTTCCTCTTTTATAGTATTTGATTTTTTTGAGTATTTTATAGAAACCTGTCTAGCTCAGTTAAAAGAATGTGCGCACAAATAATTGTTAGAATACATGCAGTAAATGTGCCTTAATTGTTTGAAAATACACACATTTATATGCCTAGTACAAGTATCATATGATGCATTAGCTGAAAGCTTGACTTTTTCTAAATTACATTGACGTTACAGAATAAAAGGAGTTCTAGGAGAAACCAGACATTTCATCTGATACCCTTGTTATTTATGACTATTTCAAAGACTAACATATTTTGTATAAAATGGTAAATTCATATACTATGCTACATGAAAGCTTGCTCATGTAAACATGATTTTGTTTATTTTCTTAACTTGAGACCACAGCTGTGTACCCTAGCTGAATTTTTACGCAAGTTAATCTTCTTCTGCGTCTGGGGGTCCTTCATCAACTTTTATTACCTTCATTTTCCTCTGTCACTATTAAAACTCCAGGCAGATAAAAAAAAAAAACACTATTTAGTTCACTGATTCAGAATGCTAGTACAGTAAGTAAATCAGGCTAGACTGCATTGCAAAGTGCTGTCCACCTAGCTCTGAGAACTTCCTAAGAAGAGGAAAGAGTAAAGTTATGATCTCATTGGCGTACTACTGCTCCTTCATTGTACCATCACCGTATTGTTTAACTACCATGTGGTCTGAAAAGAGGTCCCATGAAAAGCAAAGTCTGTTTGTGCTGTCTTAACCACTGCCTTAACCACTGCTTGATGAGATTACATGCAACAATAGGTCATCTGATGCATAATAACTGTGTATTTAAGCTGTACTCCCATAAGATTTATTTAGGTTTGATGATTGTTGTCTTCTTTTTTTATGTAATAATGTACCTATCCTAACAAAGTGCTTTTATTTTCTGCATTTCCATAAAAATAATATTCTAATATTAGCCAGTCTTTCATTTTAGTTGTAGAGTGTGTAGTGGTAAATAGGATATTTGAATTTAAAACTATTAAAGGGTCATTAAAGAGAACACCACCCAATAGTGATTTTTTTCAGTGTTATCTATTTGCTAGAAGGAGTAAAACTGCCCTATAAATACAATGGATTGGTGCTGCGCTACTCAGTGAACAAATAAGTAAATAGATAAATAAATAAATAAACCCCACACCCAAGTGTAGGAGTATAGGAACTACTAAAAACAACGGGTGAAAAATTGTGACCAAAGCAATGAAAAAAAATATATAAACATCTGCATAATACAAAGTGTAATTAAAGTGCCAGTGATGAACAAGTGTAAAAGTGACCAAAAATAAATAATGAATAAATTTGATTGTAGAAAAACGTGACACAATATATAAGTCCCAAACAAAATAAATATAGTGTACAGTCCCAAAAGATCAGTGAATCTTCAGCACAAGCCGTGAATCATCCAGTGATCACTGCAATGAATCAATCCTCCACCGGCTAGCGTGCGCGCTCACCTTCAAACTGCAACCTGCAATGGGTTATAAGGCATTGAATACACAATTGATGATCTGACTGTATATCTCCGAGATAGTACTCAGAGCACTCCTCTATGGTGGAGATGGTTAGCACTCACAGGCGTAACAGCAATAACCACTCAGGTGTCCTTACATGGATATGGCCATAAGACTCTCTCATCTCCAGTGTCCCCACATGGAAGATTTAAAAAAAAAAAAACGCTTCCCATGGTGTAGTAAGTCAAATATTTATTGTAAAAAGAAACACAAAGTGACTACTCACATTTAAAAAAGGATCTGCAGACCCATAAAGGCAAGAAACACTGAAATCTAATGCAGAAAGGTGTATAAGCTTGGGAGTACCAAGATGGCGGCTGCCATCCGTACCGGAAATTACGTCACCACGCTTCCATCCTACGTGACTTCTTCAGGGCTCCTGGAAGGTGAGCGTGCATGCTAGCTGGTGGAGGATTGATTCATTGCAGTGGTCACTGGATTATTCACTACTTGTGCTGAAGATTCACTGATTTTTTTGAGACTGTACACTATATTGATTTTGTTTGGGACCTATATATTGTGCTATGTTTTTCTTCAATCAAGTTTATTTATCATTTATTGTTGGTCACTTTTACACTTGTTCAACACTGGCACTTTGTGTTATGCAGATGTTTATATTTTTTTGTCCATTGCTTTGGTCACAATTTTTCACCTGTTGTTTTTAGTAGTTCTTATACTCCTAAACTTGGGTGCGGGGTTTATTTATTTATTTGTTCACTGAGTAGCGCAGCACCAATCCATTGTATATATATATATATATATATATATATATATATTTTTTTTTTTTTTTAAATTATATCTTTTATTGAATTTTCTTTAAAAAAAAAATTACATTACAATATCATCATAAATTCTTATTACGTCATACACAATCCCTTAAACCCCATCTCTCCCCCAAAACCACCCCCTCCACACTAAAATTACCCTGTCCAATTTCATCATTATTCTCTCTTTCCCCTCCTATTAATCTAATCGTATATCTAGATGTTTTTATCCCTTTAAATTCTCCTATTCTACTACCGGGGGACCTTTCATTTTTAAGTATTTTTCTGATGTTTTAAACTCATTCAATCTACCCCAAATCTTTTTAAATTTTTCCATTTCATCTTTCTCCATGAAACAAAGTTCCTCCATCCATTGCATTTATTTCTGTCACTATTGAAAATATAGTCAGGTGCTTGCGGCCACTTGGCAGTGATTATAGTTACCTGGCAGTGCAGGAGGATTTTTTCTTCTTTGTTGTTTAAACTGCCCTATAGCCTTTTTGACGTTTTTTACATATGCATGTGAAAACGATCATCTAAATGTAAATCTTAATAAAACATTTATTTAGCTTCCTTTTTTCTAAATCATTGGTAATATTTATGTTTATGGACAGGCATATATGTTTTTTACACAAGTTTTGCTTCCTGTTGATTCTCTTAACAAAACAATATGGTCTTGTAAAATATTTAGGGTAAGACACTATAGAAGATGACCGGCAGTGTGTTGTGGTGATTTTGCAGTCCATTCAGAATAAATGGGCGCATGAAATACCATACATTAACACACCACATTGCACCACATAAGTGTGAAGAGGACCTAAAAGTGAGATAAGAACATCAGAAGAAGCCCAATCTTCATTGTATAAATTATTATTTTATGGGATTTATATAGTGTGAATATAGTGTGCAGCACTTTACAAGGGGGCTATGCTTATGTACTTATATATTGGTGATTAACTATACATAAAATGTACTAAAAAAAATTTTTTTTTAAACATTTTGCTAATCTTTTTCATATATACAAATAAAAAAAACCTGAAAAAGTCTACAGATCCTCTTTAAATAATTGTTTTTATAGTTGCTCAGCAGTTTCATTTAAAAATGTATACATCATTACTGTAACTTATCTCAAACCCTTTTTTAACGATGACATGTAAGAAGACATTAACAGTCAGATAATGTGCCTGAAAGCCTAACACACTCAATATACATAACCTTGACTATCCATCACAGCTTTATTTATTGATACTATTTCCTGTTATGTCTACATGATCAGTTCAATAAAGTTTAACTCACATTAATACATTACAGTGACAAGCAAGCTTACAAAAAAACCACATTGCTATCCCTTTGTGTTGGAGATATAACCACATCGTTAAACGTCTAGATATGAATGAAGGGTCCTTTTAAAGAATAGCCACCACCTTGACAATAACATTTTCATTATGAGCTAGATTTTGTGGGTTTAGGAATCATTATGATATTCTCCTAAGAGCTTCTAAAACCAACCAAACAGCTCAGATCAACACAGGGGCAATTGCCTAACCACAAAAGTAATGAATAAATAACAAGAAATGTGTATTGGAATTGCTATGTTTTTATCCCATCATTGGCATAGTCTGCTTTACGATCATATTAGCCTCAATAGCTTCCTTGCTGTAAACATTGCGTTATATTGTACAGACTGCTTATCAAAACAAGGTACCATGTTATCTGGAAATG